AAAAAAACATAAAGAATAGATAAAATAGAAAATGTGAAAATATGAAAAACCCAGCATTAGTGGTAGCTTTAAAGATAGTGCATATTTGAATAAATTAAGAATTTCCACAAAAAAGTGAATTAATCAGAGTTTTCTCCAATTATGCCTTTTTGAACCTCTGAAATTTCATTTACTATAGGAGATATGTAACTTTACTAATATGTAGAAAAAATAATTAGGGAAATAATGGTTTAATAATTATTTTAGTACTCTATCAGTCTGACATAATCAGAAGAGAGAAATCACATATCAATATAATTGGAACAGGAAAAGTTTTCATACAGTCAATTCTTATTACTGTAAGTAGTTATGTTCTATAAACAAGGAATTAACAAATATTGAACCATCATTCAAAATTCAGGATTAGGTTCCTGTGAGCCTCTGGTCACATTTTCATCAACTGATCAATACATAAGCTTGCTTTGTGTTTCTGTTGAAGGATAACTTATTTAATATACATTGTTGATTCATTAACATTGCACTCTCAGCCAACATTATGTTTCATGCCTGAACATAGCTTTCTAACAGGCACTTTCTCCATAAGGCACCTCACTGCCTTCCTTTTTTAAATTTTTCTTTATTGACATATGTGTCCTTATTGCCCCATTGCCTCCCCTCCCCCGCACATCCCCACTTATACATTCACCCCTCTGTTGTCTGTGTCCATTGGTTAAGCTTATATGCATGCACACGAGTCCTTTGGTTTATCTCTCCCGCTTATCCCCACCTCCTTTACCTTCCCTCTGAGGTTTGATGGTCTGATCGATGCTTCTCTGTCTTTGGATCTGTTTTTGTTCATCAGTTTATGTTGTTCATTAAATTCCATAAATTTATCTTTCTCTGACTGGCTTATTTCGTTTAGCATAATTCTCTCCTGTTCCATCCATGCTGTTGCAAATGGTAAAAATTCCTTCTTTTTTACTGCAGCATAGTATTCCATCATGTAGATGTAACACAGTTTTTTAATCCACTCAACTGCTGATGGACACTTAGGCTGTTTCCAAATCTTAACTATGGTGAATTGTGCTGCTATGAACATAGGGGTGCATATATCCTTTCTGATTGGTGATTCTAGTTTCTTGGGATATATTCCTAGAAGTGGGATCACTGAGTCAAATTGGAGTTCCATTTTTAGTTTTTTGAGGAAACTCCATACTGTTCTCCACAGTGGCTGCACCAGTCTGCATTCCCAGAAGCAGTGCATGAGGGTTCCTTTTTCTCTGCATCCTTGCCAGCACTTGTTGTTTGTTTATTTGTTGATGATAGCCATTCTGACAGGTGTGAGATGGTACCTCACGGCCTTCTTTCACCTAAGAACACTAGACAGCACTTCAAAACTATGTTTAAGGGCTATCTTAAGCAGTGAAATCACTAAAAGCACAAAAAACAGAAAATGAAACTGCTAAATTGATTGTGAAAAGAACACTTTTCTACAGGATAAGAGGTGTAATAAGAAGGCAGGGTGTTGCCTTGTTCTCATGCAAGTTAGGAGTGTTAAAAAAAACACACAAAATTCAATCAATTAAGTTTGAAGAGCTAATTGGCTTTTGTAAGTGATTCTCAAATCAGGCAGCATCCCATCTCCAACAAGTTGTACCAAATGAAAGGTTCTTTATAGGAAGAAGGGTGGGGGCAAAGAAGCTACTTACAAAAAAGTAAAGATTATTTTTAGACCAAGACATCTTGTTTGGGATGGAGCTGAAAGGAAGGGAATAGCAAGAGTTTTTAGCTTGCAAACTTGCCCCTTCTTGGGAGGAGGGAGGAGAAGTATGGAGAGGGCCAAGGTAACTGATTACTTTACTGATATTTGATCAGAAAATTCCAGACCAATTAAGATTTCAACCATTTCTGGGAGGGGTTGAAAGAACAATTCGATCAGGTATTAAGTCTAAGTTTTGGTATAGTGGTATCAAACTGACACAGAATTTCTTGATGAGTGGAAACCACACACATCTGGTATCAGATGTGAAGTGTGTTGTAGTAAAGTATTGAGTGTAGAGGAGACACACTGGAGAGTTTTTCCTTATATTCCAGCTGAGCACTGGAAAACCCCAGGAAGAACTTACAACCAAAACCCTTTCCTCTTCCAATGTCTCTCCAGCGTCCTCTAGTGACAAGACATTGTGTCTGCTGTCAAAGGAAAAATATTTAAAAGGCTCAGATCCATTTTTACAGAGCAGGCAAAAATAATGGTTTTGAAGCCAGGAGAGGACAAATTAATAACCAGTATACAATAGTTAGGGGAAAAATAGAATATTGGGGACTAGCTCATAGTTATAAGAAATATGCCCTGCCGGCATAGCTCAGTGGTTGAGCATTTACCTATAAACCAGGAAGTCACGGTTCAATTCTCTGTTAGGGCACGTTCCCAGGTTGCAGGCTCGGTCCCCAGTAGGGGGTGTGCAGGAGGTAGCCAATCAATGATTCTCTCTCATCATTGATGTTTCTATCTCTTTCTTTCCCTTCCTTCCTCTCTGAAATCAATAAAACTATATTTTAAAAAAATGAAATATTAATCATGATCTGTTAACTGTGATCGTTTTGTTCTGATTAAAGAAAGTGCTTTCTAATCTGGTTGGGAATTTTATGCCCTGGGACATGGGAGTCAAACTTGGACCTGGCAGTCAACTTTAGAATGTGGTCCATTCTCATCCCAGAACTGCCTATTATCATGGAAAGATTAACAACTTTGTTGCTCAAATGATGGAGTCCAGGAGGCACTGGTCCCCAGCCCACATTGCCTGTAATCTGTAACCAATTACCCATTTTTATTACTTTTGCTTACTTCCTCATGTACTCTTTGTCCTATCCATTATAAGCAGCTGGCTTATGGGAGAAGGGTGCAGAGTAGATTTTCCTGAATGACCTGCTGCTCTCCCATACTGCCTGCATTAGGCAATACTGGAATAACCGCTCATGTATGACTCAATCCTATCTCTGCTTAATTGGCGCAAGTGGCGACAGGCAGCCCGGACCCATTGATTGTCTTGTTTCACTATGCAATGTCCTTTTAAAAACTGATTGTACAACAAATATGAAAAACACACAAAAAATTTGCAGTTAATTGCCGAAACCGGTTTGACTCAATGGATAGAGCATCGGCCTGCGGACTGAAAGGTCCCAGGTTCGATTCTGGTCAGGGGCATGTACTTTGGTTTCGGGAACATCCCCAGTAGGGGGTGTGCAAGAGGCAGCTGATCGATGTTTCTTTATCATGGATGTTTCTAACTCTCTATCCCTCTCTCTTCCTCTCTGTAAAAAAATCAATAAAATATATTTTTAAAAATTTTGCAGTTAACCATTTTCCATAATTTTTAATAGTCTTTGCCCATGTCTTCTTATAATTGTTTCTTTAAAAAATTGGGCTGATCATAATTTAACCACTTTCTTATTATATTGTTGAATATACAGCTTGTTTTAAATTTTTAACTATTATAAACAATGCTGGCCAAACCAGTTAGGGCACCACCACTCTTTATCTACCATCTATTGGTGGGCACTTGGGTTGCTTCCCTATTGTAAATAATGCTGCATTGAGCATTTGGGTGCATATGTTCTTCTGAATTAGTAGTTTGGGTTCTTTGGATATATATACCCAGAAGTGGAATCCCTGGGTCATAAGGCAGTTTCATTTTTTATTTTTTATTTTTTTAGGAACCTCCCTACTATTTTCCAGAGTGGCTGAACCAATCTGCATTTCCATCAACAGTGCATAAGGGTTCCTGTTTCTTCACATACTCACCAACACCTGTTATTGTTGATGATAGCCATTCTGAGAGTTGTGAAGTGTATCTTATTGTGATTTTAATTTGCATTTCTCTGGTGATTAGTGATGTTGAGCATATTTTTCATAAGTATGTTGGTCATCTTTATATCCTCTTTGGATAAGTGTCTACACTGACAATGTGTCCCAACCCTTTACACAAACTTCGGAAAAGATGCACACAAAACAGGAGACTAAAGAAATGGTTTTAACATCATCCATCTTCTGGCTTTACTGACTGCAACCGTGGTAGACTAGTCTATTTCAGTTTCCCTCTTTTAGAGAAATACTAGTAAAAGTTATGGCTTCTCCCATTCCAAAAAAACCACATTATAATTGTATGTCAGGCGTGGAACAGTTATGGGGCAGTGTGTGTGTGTGTGTGTGTGTGTGTGTGTGTGTGTGTGTAGTGTAGGGACGCTGTAGTCAGGGTGTTGGGTATGGGTCCTACCTAGGTTGGCACTGAGGAATGGAGATCATCTCTACCAGCAGCAGGTGCTCTGTTATCAGTATAATCACCTAACAAGTCATAATTGGGGTTTGACATGGAGGAGGCTGCACCAGTTATCCCAAATCTTTTCCGTCTAGATTTCTACAGTAAGGTCTGAGACCAATACCTCAGCTCTGATCACTGCCATTCCCTGAGCAGCAGTCACTTGGGAACCCAAGACCTGAAACTCGCAAATCACGGAGCACCTAGGAAACTGAGGGACCTGCGCATGCGCAGAGGTGCCGTCTCGCCCTACCTTTCACGGGTGAATGGACTGTTCCATTCCTGACAGGTGATGACTGTAGTGAATTTGGGAGCCTGGGCTTGGAGGTTCAGGCCTTAATTAGTATGTCCTGCATTTTTCTGCATTATTTATCGCTTATTATTATACTTTTCTATGCTGACGCCTGCGACAGGCTTCTGAAAAGAGTTTGGGACGGCTCCACCGTGCATCCTCCCCCTCTCAACTGGGAGCGGTAGGGCTGCCCGACGCGACGGCCAGAGGGCCCCGCCCCCTTCCAGGGCCCCGCCCTTCCCCGCCGCGCCCCGCCCCCCGCCTCTCGCCGCTCCTCCTCTTCTCCGCCCCGCCGGCCGCCGGCGCGGGGACGTCAGCGCTGCCAACGTGGAGACGGCGGCGGCGGGGCACGGGAGGCGGAAGTGGCGCCTGGGACTGCGCGCCTCCCTCGGGCTGCGCCCGCCGCCTCGACCATGGACGTGTCCTCGGATCAGGTTCGTGCGGGAGGCGGGAGGCTGGAGGCGGCGCTGCGACCCGGGTTCTCCGCCTCCGGGGCGACTGTTTCCCCGCCGCGAGCGCTGCCATTGTGACTGGAGAGGGGGGCGGGGGTTAACGGGCCCGTCCTGAGGAGGCCTGGCCGAGAGGGGTCTGGCTACGTCACGGGGCCGGAGCCTCGCGGGTCCCCGTGGGCCGCGGGAGGCCGGGCCGGGTGCTGCCCGGGCCGCGAGCGGCGCACGAACCCCGTGCGGGGCCGACCTTGCGGCCTCCTGCGCGCGGCTGCGTCCATTGGGGATGACCGAGCGCGCCCCAGAAGCGCCTGGAAAGAAGCCCCTCCAGTTGTCTGGGAGCCAGCTGCAAACCTGTAGGTTTTCTGTGGCTTCCAAGTAAGGAAGGAAGAGCATGAAAGCAGCGGCGTTCCCAGACGTCCGCGGTTAAAAACCCAGGCTTCCGTCCCGGAGTCCGAGCCTTAAGGGGGCGGGGCCGGGACCTGCGTGTTTCACAGGTTCTCCCACGTGATTTTGATGCTGTAGTTTGGGGGCGCAAATGAAGACCCGGGAGGTCAAGGAAGGGGTGAGTTTCGTGGGTAGGTTGTGAATTTCCTTTGGAGGATTTGCTGCTGCTGCTCCACACATTTCTAGCTCCCGGGCGAGGAAGGGGGCGGGGAGACCCTCGGGTCAATCCGTGATCTCCTGCGGGCAGCGCTGTCCTCTGGTTTCCCCTTGGGAGGAACAGTAGCGTGATGTACCTGGCTGACCACCCTGGCATGTGAAATGGATTCTGATTGTTCCAGGTTGAGGGTTTGTAAATGATCACCGGTGCGTGGATCTCTTCATGGATACACCTGCCTTCAGAACCTGATGACAGACACTGTGCCCTCTGCCTTAAGGTCTTTCTTCCTGTTCAGACGGGGGGGGGGGGGGGGGGGGGGAGAGACTGCATGTCCAGACCCAATTTCTCATCCATGTAGACTTCAGGAGCAAATCCAGTGCTTTAGAGCTGCTTTCTTTTCATTTTGAACTGGCAGAAGTAACATATGTTGTCACTTGTCCGTGCCACAGCTGCTGCAGATTTGTTAACTTGTCTCTGGAGGGTTGAAGGGAGTATTGTATAAATTCACCCCGATGTCTTCCGTGTGCCCTCAGTGGTATAAGCCACACGTAGGCTGTTTCTCGTACATTTTGGTGTGTGCGATCAAGAAAATAAAAAGTAATGTTTTTCTTCCACTGCCTTTCTGGCGAATGTTACGTGTTTTTTCCTGGCTAGGAATAAAGTCTTTCCAGGCTTTTGATGAGCACACCTTTAGGGTACTTTGAGTTGTAGTCTAGATCAGTGGTTCTCAACCGGGGCAGTTTTGTTTCCCAGGGGACATTCGGCAATGTCTGGGGACATTTTTTTTATTATGGTAACGAGGGGGTAGAGAGGAGTTGCTAGCACTGTGTGGGTGGTGGCCAGGGCAGTTGCTAAACATCCTACATTACACAGGACAACCCCTAAACCAGAGAATTATCTGCTCAAAATGTCAGTGGTGCTGAGGTTGAGGGCACCCTGGTCCAGATCATGTGCGTAACACCAGTAGTTGAATACAAAATAACGCTCACAATGTCCCGTTAGTATCTTCTTTCCAATTAAATGAAAGGATGGGGTGGGCTTTTGCAATATCAATTAAAAACCTAAAGAACTGGGGTGATCTTTCTTCCAAGAAAAGTTCTTTGTAGGCAAATCTGCAAACCAGAGTGGGTTGGAATCCTGCTTTAATTATTAGTTTTCTGACATTTGATTGGTAGATGAGAGTGGTTGCTCCCTAAATGTTAATTGATGATAAAGTATCTTAAATTCTCCAAATGATCTGAAGAGGTACTGAAACTCCAAAGTTCTTAAGGCTGGAGCATTCACAAAAATCGCAGTGATCTTTTAGGAATTCACAATGTGTGGGTTGGAAGTTTCTGCCATAGGCCAGTGTGGAAATTTTGAACGTAAGGTCTTCAGAACTAATATTGTGTCTTATTTTTCATTTTATGAAGCAGTAGAGGGCCTTACACGAAATGAACAATTTCTCTTGGTGCTGAGCGGACAGAAAAGAATAAAGCATCGCTATAATATTAATAGCAGGATTTTGTGTTCTGAAAAATAGTTTAAATTTAAAACCTTGAGGGGAAAAAAAAACACAAAAACTTAAATTGTGCTCATTCCTGTTTTTTTGAGGAATAGACTTTTCTGAGGTAAATTCTACTTGATAAATTTGAGAACTATTTGAGCAGTTCCGAATGGTCTCATTTAAACGAATCCTTGCATAATTTATACTGCTTACAGACACCACAATGTTATTTGATATCCATCCTCTAAAATACTGAGTAATCTCTCACTTTAAAATGTAGTAGGCTATCATTTAGTGGAAGCACTCAGTGCATTCCCTTGTCCAAATATAATTGTGTTCTTGCTTTTTTGGTTTTGTTTAGGTGATATGTAGATATGCAGACCTGTGATGACATATTCTTGTCTTTTTTTTTTTTCACAATAGTGTCAGTTTTCTTCTTGTATCTGAAATTAATGATGTCTCAAGAAACCAGACAGGTCAATTGAAGGGGCCAGGTATTCAAACTAGAAGAGCAGGAATGGAAGCCTCAGCCCCCCGATACTGTATGTCTGATGGATAAGAAAGAGGCCCTGTAGCATAATCTCACAATGCTCACTTACGTTAATATTCAAGTGTTAAAATGCCACAGGAAGTAATTATTCTGCTCCTGAAGGTCTTAATAAGTTATTCAACACACCAACATATACTTTTTAGTAAAAACCTGCTACTTTTAAGTTAGTAGAACCACCCAGACCTTTTTCTGTTGTTTGGAAAATCCCATTCTTCCTGGGTATTATGTTTAGACAAGGTGTATTGCTGTTTGTTTTGCATCTACTTTAATTCCAACCTTGAGTAAACTTAGAGCAGGCTTTTCCAAACTAGCACTGCTAAAATTTGGGCTGGATAATTCTGTGGTGGGAGGCTGTTGAGTGCATTGTAGAATGTCTAGCTGCATGCCTGGCCTCTGCCCCCTGGATGCCATAGCAAACCTCCCCCTCCCTCCGTGTGACCACCAAAAGCCTGTCCAGATGGAGCAGTTGTTTTCTGGGGTCGGAGGAATTGCCTCAGGCTGAGAAGCACTGACTTAAGAACCTAGAGCTGCACTGTCCGGGGTGGCTATGTAGCCAGTGGTCACATTTGTCTTTAAATATTTAAGTTTAGGTTAATTAAAATTAAATAAAATCAGTTCTGTTCTCAGTCACACTAGTCACATTTCAAGTGCTCAACAGTCACAGTGTGTGTGTGTGTGTGTGTGTGTGTGTGTGTGTGTGTGTTGTTTTGGTTTGTTTTTTTTGGCTACAATGTAGCTGCTGAACAGTGCAGATATAGAACTTTTCATCACCATAGAAAGTTCTGTGGGACAATGTTGCAAAGTGAGGCCAATTTCTGTGGTATGCCTTTTTAGATTCTACTTTTAGAATGGGAGGCTTCTGTGAGGAGATGATAGCCTGTAAATTTAGTATTGGTTTAAGCCGATTCCTTATCATCATAACATGAGGGTTTTGCATACAGGTGCATGGTGGTTAAGATGGTAAATGATTACCAAATGCTTGGTAGGTACAAAGTTCTGATCCTAAAAATTTATGGCCTTAAGCATCTTTTTTAAAAGAATAATCTTTATTGTTGAAAGTATTATGTATGTCTCCTTTCTTCCCCCACTAATCCCCTCCACCTGCCCCTGACCCAGGACTTCACCACTCCATTGTCTGTGTTCATGGGCCGGGCATATATGCATACAAGGTCCTTGGTTGATTACCTCCCACCGCCTTCTCTCCAAGCCACACTCGGTTCCATGCTTCCATTTCAATATATTTTTATTGATTTCAGAGAGGAAGGAAGAGGAGAGAGAGAGAAGCATCAATCATGAGAGTCATTCATCAGCTGTCTTCTACCTACCCTACTAGGTTTTTATACCCTTGACCGGAATTGAATCTGGGACCCTTCAGTCTGGAGGTTAATACTCCAAACACTGGGCCAAACTGGCTAAAGTTCAGTGATTCTTGATTTAAACAAGTGGATATAGAGTTCAAAACCACAGTTACAAGGTTTTTCAAGAATTTCCTAGAAAAGGCCGATAAATTTAGCGAGAACCTCAAGGATATGAAAAAGGACCAACAGAAATCAACATACACTGACTGAAATAAAAAGTATTATACAGAGACCCAACAGCCGATTAGAGGAATGCAGTCATTTGTTTTCCTCCATTTCTTTCGTTTGTTATATGTTTCTTTGTGTTCACATTTTCGCTGCTTACCTGAGTTGGTAGAGTAGCTTTGTGTGCTAGGTGTCCTATATTGCCTCCCCAGTTACCTGAGGTGGACACTCTTGGTGCACCCTTTGTGGACTGCGTGTACAGCCTTGTTGTAGTTAAGTCTTGATTGTTGTTGGTATCACTGGGAGGAATTGACCTCCAGGCCAGTTGGCTGTGAGGACCCACTGTGTCTACTCCGGGAGAACTTCTGTGCTGGCAGTCCTCTCTTCGCGTGCCTCTAGACCTCTGCCTTTCGCTGCTCCACTGAGTTTCCACCTGACAGTCCAGAATCCCCCCGTAAGCCTGGGTCCCCAGGGTCTCGCCCGGAACTGGGGTTTAGTGCAGTCAGCATACTCAGGAGGTCTTGTCTCCTTCCGCTAGAGAAAGCCAGCCAGGCACTCAGCCCCCGGTGCACTTGTCTCCATACCTTAGCCTTTTGCAGCTCCTCTGATTCTCTTGTGTGCTTTCCTCTTTCCTTCTAGTTGTAGAATTTCCACTCAGCCAGCTTTTCTGTGATTTGGTTGATGTTCGTTTTGTCTTTTTGAAATTGTTGTGCGATGCAGCAGTTTAGGTGGTTTCTCTCCATAATGTAGATTTTTTACTTTATAATATGATCGTGTCTCATTATTGCTAGCAGAATGTAAATTAAAGGATAGCAGAATGTAAAT